GGAGCGTGTGCGAGTGCTGTGTTAAGGCACGGCTCGTCATGAAGTGACCGCGCAAGTAGCAAGCAGAGCAGCAGGTCGATCCCTCGCAAAGCGTGGACGTTAAGTTTCACCTCAGACAGTATCCTCCCGCTGCGTGTGAATGAAATGTTGTTGTTGTTGTTGTTGTTGTTGTTGTTGTTGTTGTTGTTGTTGTTGTTGTTGTTGTTGTTGTTGTTGTTGTTGTTGTTGTTGTTGTTGTTGTTGTTGTTGTTGTTGTTGTTGTTGTTGTTGTTGTTGTTGTTGTTGTTGTTGTTGTTGTTGTTGTTGTTGTTGTTGTTGTTGTTGTTGTTGTTGTTGTTGTTGTTGTTGTTGTTGTTGTTGTTGTTGTTGTTGTTGTTGTTGTTGTTATTGTTAGTGTTATTGTTATTGTTATTGTTGTTGTTGTTGTTGTTGTTGTTGTTGTTGTTGTTGTTGTTGTTGTTGTTGTTGTCGTTGTCGTTATCGTTGTCGTTGTCGTTGTTGTTGTTGTTGTTGTTGTTGTTGTTGTTGTTGTTGTTGTTGTTGTTGTTGTTGTTGTTGTTGTTGATGTTGTTGTTGTTGTTGTTGCTGCTGCTGCTGCTGCTGCTGCTGCTATTGTTCTTGGTTTTGTTGGTGGTATGTCTTTCAGGAATTGCAGTTACTGTTGTTGTTGTTGTCGTTGTTGCTTGTGCTTGTTGTTGTTGTTGTTGTTGTTGTTGTCATTGCTGTTGCTACAGTCTATTGCTACCATTATTAATATTGCTATTGTTGGTGTTGTTGGTGAAGTTGTTTCTGTTGTTACAGATGCTGCTGTTGTTGTTGTCGCTGTCTGTGTCGATGCCGCCGGTTCGTGTCGTCGCTCAGGTCGTTGTCGTGACCGATGTGGTGGTCGTTGTCGTTGCGTTGTTGCTGGTGGTGGCGATGGTGCTGCTGCAGGTGCCGGTGCTCGTGCTGGTGTCGTCCTCGTCGGTGGTGGGTGTGGGTGTTCAAGAAATTCATTAATTGCTGAGCAAGAGATGTCATGATGGCAGCGCAGGCAGCAGCAGCAGATGCAGTGGTGCTGCAAGAGCACCTAAATCTTCGGCACCAGCCCGAAACCATGTTCTGCGATGTGCCTAGTCCTGAACCTCCAAGCCCCCTAGCCCTCAAGGCTGATACCATCGACCGACCTTGGAGAAACACTGCTGATATCGTCGGACCTGCGCCAATCCCCTCAAGCCCCAAACCACGAAGGCCTACAGTAGTCCCTAAACCCTGTAAGGTAGAAGCCAGAAAGTTGGAATATGATTATCCTAACCCTTCTATGGTAAATTATAGGGTATCCTACCATGAAACCATATTCCAACTTTCTGGAGTTCCCTGTAACCTAAAAGAGTGAAACCCAAACCCGTAAATCTGCTGAAACCCCCCAAAAACCCCTGAAGCCCCCAAACGCCCCTGAAGCCCCCACGCCCGAAAAGCCTAAGTAGACCTTAAGTTGCCTAAACACCTAAACCCCCAACACCTAAACCCTTAACCCTTAACCCTAAACACCCTAAATCCCTAAACCCTAAACCCTAAATCCCTAAACCCTAAATCCCTAAATCCTAACCTCGCCTCCCGTCGTTGCCGGTTTCGGAAGCCAGACTGGAGGTCGAACGAAGCGTAGAAGCGGACCGAAGCGTAGAAGCGGACCGCAAGGAGCTGGCACTACGGCTCCTTTAACGGTCGAGGGCTCTCAGTATAGGGTTTAGGGTTTATGGGTTTAGGGTCTAGGGGTTTAGGGGTTTAGGGTCTAGGGGTTCAGGGTTTACGGGTTAAGGGTTTCGGATCTAGGGGTTCATGGTTTAGGGTTTACGGCGTTTGGGGGTTCTGAAGGTTTGGGATGGTATGGGGCTGAGGGCTATCGGGGTCTGGAGTTGGTGGGGCCTCGGGCATAGAGCTTCAGGGCAATAGTCTGCAAGGCTTCATTCCCTAAGGGTCCATGTACCCATATAGAGATACATGGGCCCCAGAGTACCTATATAGGGACTACATTAAGGCCAATGTATATACTATAAGAGTACATGGACCCTTAGGGATTCGTGCGTCTGCACTGAGAGGTCGTAGGTTTAAAGGTAGGGGTTTGTCTGCGAAACAAGACTTCCACGTACTTCCGCGGCTTGAGGTGTTGAGGTGTAGACAATTTAAGCTTTGCTGACGCAGCATCATTTCCTACAAAGGGGCATGAATGACTAGACAATAAGGTTTGGGGATATACTCTGTCATTTTCTGTAACCCTAAGACTCCAAATAGCCCAAAGTAGGCAGTATTTGTAGACTTTAGACCCCAAAAGTGGGTACTATTTGTATACTTGGAGTCTTAGGGTAAGAGGGAACCCTAAGCAACAAGAGTGGTAATCGTTTATGACGGTTTTGAGTTTTGAGGTTCAGGGCCGACCCTCTCTGAACCCTGAAACCCCTAAACCCTTAACCCCTAAATCCCTGAAACCCCTAAACCCCTAGATCCCTAAATCCCTAAATCCCTAAACCCTAAATCCCTAAACCCTAAATCCCTGAAACCCCTAAATCCTTAATTCCCCAAATCCCTAAACCCTAAATCCCTAAATCCTTAAATCCCTAAACCCTAAATCCCTTAACCCTAAATGCGTGAAATCCCTAAATTCTTAATTCCCCAAGTCCCTAAACCCTACATCCCTAAACCCTAAACCCACTGCAGGCCAAAGGAGGCTGACCCACCCCGAAACGGTGCTTCCTGCAGGGTAAAGAGAAGGATTTAGCAGCTTTTGGCTGCATAGTTCCGTTTGATGCCAGGGGTATTCGAGGTTTGGAAAGCTAACTGCCCAGACCTTCCAAAATCCCTTAATTAAGGAATATACCTTAAATTATAATAGAGTCCCTAATATGATTTAAGGTATATTCCTTAATTAAGGAATTTTGGAGGGTCTGGGTGATCGTTCTACTGCCACAACCCGCAGCCGACGATATCGCTCCTGCGAACGCGGCTCGGGCTCCGCTGAAGTTTCCCTTCGCTTGAGCCGTCAACCTTGGTCAAAGCTGCGGGTGTTTGGGTTTAGGGTTTACGGCTTATGGCATATGGATTCAAGTTTGGCGGTTCGGGGTTGGTATACGTCATCTTCGACATTAATTTTTAAACAGTGACGGTATTCTTACGCTTGTTGGTGGTCCAATATGGGTATAGCAGTACAGATTCGATGCGGGCCCCACCTCACCCAGTGATCGAGGCTTTGCTGCATGTCGATGGATTAGCGTTTAGGGTTGGGTGGGGTGGGGCGACCAACCCCATGCCGTTGTCCATCCGCATCGTGAAAAGAAAACTGAGGCGGGGCTTCCCGCGCATGTGATCACAATCAACGCTGCCTCCCCGACTTACCGATTGTGAATCGGAACCCCGAAACCCTAAACCACTAAAACCTAAACCGTCAAGCTCTAAACCGCTAAACCCTAAACACTAAACACCTAAACCGTAATCATAGCACTTGAGTGTTGTGGCCATGTTGAGATACGGCGGCTCTGGTGGTTGCCAGGATTGATTTCTGCCACGGCTCTTTTTTGGGGGGGTCTCTGGCTACATGCCTTGAGGACACTGACAGTATGCAGCCTGCTCAGCTCTGACGAACTCTACCGCTTCGAGACAGCAATCGCGAAAGTCAGGATTGCTTGCCCTAAGACTCCAAGTATACAACTAGTGCCTACTTTTTTTTTTTACATTGCGGTCTAGAGTCTATATTTACTACCTACTTTGGGCTATTTGGAGTCTTAGGCTTGGAGCGGCGGACTGCTGCGGGCTTGCTTAGCCCAGTGTTATCGACGCTGGTGGAGATGGCAGGTTCGCCAGCTTCCCCTAAGGGTCCATGTACCCATATAGAGATACATGGGCCCCAGAGTACCTATATAGGGACTACCTTAAGGCCAATGTATATACTATAAGAGTACATGGACCCTTAGGGTTCTGTTTGCTTCGGCGGATTGGCACGGTGCAGTTCCGGCCACAGACAAGGCACCGCCTCGCACCTGCTAATCCTTCTAATGGTCGCAGCCTGAGCCGAGTAGTACTACGGTTGATGATATAAATCCTGCATGACCCAGAAAAAGGAATATACCATAATTCCCATAGTTTAGGGTCCTTCAGGTAATGTAAGGTTTATATCATCAACAGTAGAAGCACAGTCTGACTAGCACTATTTAAATTTGTTCCAGGGTGCCAGCGGCACTTGCAGCCGCAGCAGACTTTTGCCTACCTTCTACTTCCAGTGATGCCAAACAGACACCCAGCCTGATTGTGCCGAACCACGTAGATAACCCTAAACCCTAAACACTACGCCCCAAGATTTGAATGACGACTGATGAAACACGCCGTGCAAGCCTGCAAGTAGTATGCACCAGTACTATCTTCGAAACAAACCTAACAAACACGGATACTATTTTAAGGGTTGGCACTTCTGTCAGCATTGCTGGTGTGACAGCATTCCTGTTCGAGTGGCTGATGCGACTGACGGCTGTGATGACGATGCTGATGATTATGATGAACAACTTGATGGTGACGATGACGATGAGCTGTTGTATTGATGATGTTGTCGGCTTTTTGTTGGCTCCTCTGGCTAGGTAGAATTCCTGCTGAAGTGGATACCATGACCACCATTTTGGATATGCCACAGTAACACGCATCTGTCGCCCACAGACTTTACCCAGTGTCATCCTGGCAAACAGGACTTAGAACCTGCTACGGCTCCTGCCAAACATGAAATTTTGGAGCTTACTACAGTTAGTGGCGCTTCGGAAAATCCAGAACTTTAGTGAGTCGAAAACATCACTGCGACATCCCAAACACGCTAACCCCCTGCAACCGTAGATGCCATATACAGTATATATGTATATATAGACAGATAGTTAGATAGATAGCTGTACTATACTGCATACGCTATATACACTATTTATACACCATACATACTGTTACATACTATGCCCTAGACACTAAACCCTGCACTATCTGTGCCCAGGGGCCGGCAGGACTTCGAGCTCAAGGAGGTGGAGGCTCGTATGAAGGAGCTTGGTGTCCTCTCTTCTTAAACAGGCGGGCCCAAAAATATCGTTCGAAGATAGGCCGAATAAATCTATAACGCCAACAGACCATCAAAGTTCTCACGTTAGCTATCCAAGTGTCGAAGGAGGGCAACATGCGAAGTTGCTCGCTGAGCTCATCATAGTCCTGCGCAGCTTGGGCCAGGGTTTGGGGCTTAGGTTCGCAACATGCTTACGGGTTGAGAGTCAAGGCTTATAGAGATTAGGGTTTTAAACTTCAGATTTAAAGGCTGACCATCGCAACCACTAGTGACAGCGAAAGCTTCAGTACGTTCTGACTAGAGCCATTCAAGGTTCAGGGTGATGTACTTAAAGGACTAGGGAACTTAGCAAGTGGGCTATCGGAAAAGTAACTACAGTCGTAATTGCTGACTGCCCCAGTTAAAGCACTTATAACCTAGGTTACCTAATCCTTTCCGTAGGATCGTAGGCGGAAACAAAACCCTACCATGTTACGGACATATGAAAACACAGAACAAGGTACCCTAAATCCTAAAGACAGAACGCCGAACCCGAAAGAAGGGGGATTAGGGGTTTAGGGGTTTAGGGGTTTATGGGTTTAGGGTTTAGGGGTTAGGGGTTAGGTTTTAGGATTTAAGGGTTAAGGGGTTTATGGGTTTAGGGTTTAGGGATTAGGGATGGATTTAAGGGTTCAGGGGTTTATGGGTTTAGGGTTGGACAGCCGATGGGAGCATATAGCAGGGGCATACATACTCCGACTAGGGTTTCGGGAACCCCGGAAACAGTATGACCTCATGCTTCAATCCCTCATATTGAGGTACCCCTAAACCCTAAGCACTTAGTGTGTCCAGTCTGTTGATACTCCTTCATACGAATGAGGGTTTGGGTCTCAAACCGTTGAAGCGCACTTTCAGGGTTAAGGGATTAAGGTTCAAGCCTTTACAGAACGCTTTAGACCTTTGTTGAAATGCAGCGCCTCATGTGTCACATCCTAAACTCTTTCACGGGAGTTGAAATGCAGCGCCTCATGTGTCACATCCTAAACTCTTTCACGGGAACCCTGTCGGAGGTGACCAAATCCACCCGAACCAAAGCCCTAGACACAGGGGTCTCAATGAGCAGAATAGGGATGTGGCAGTCAGTTTAAACCATGGTCATACAGGGACGTGAGACGAGAATCTTCTTACTAACCTCCTCAGCCCTGCAATAGGCTGACTGCGAAACTCCTGAAGCTTAACCTCGATGTCTATCAGCCCAAACCCCAAGCCATCCCGAAGCATGAGCCTTAACTCATCCGTCAAGCCGTAAGTCGCGGTTCAGGGTCTGGGGATTCTGATAACTCCTAGACACCCTAAACACCCCTAATTCAGACCTAAACTCGTGTGCGTCGTTGTCAGGCAGCCCAGCCCAGCCCAGCCCCCAACACCTTTAGCCCGAGCCCTCAACAAATCGAGAAAAAACAACAAACCCTTGACCCTTGACCCTAAACCCTGAACAACTTCGAAGACTTACCTGCCCCACGGACTCTAACGTTCGCTCAAAACTGCTCCACCCAAAGCCTTAACGGTTTTCATTTTCATGAAGCTCTAGAACCCAAAACCCTAAACCCCTAAACCCTCACCCCTAAATCCCCCTAAACCCTAAAACCTAAACCCCTAGAGACGGTCCATGGACAGAAGCTTTCTGGCCGTGAGATGCACTGACTCGGCCAGCTCGGAATGCTTGGGGAGAAAGGCCAGGTCTAAGATGCCAAACCTCAGATTATAGGATCCTTAAGGGAGGGGGGTTCAAGGGGGGAGGGTATAAGGAATCCTTAGGGGACTGTAAGGGGACCTTAGGTCTAAGATGCCGAACCTCAGAAAGGGTTCCTTTAAGGGATCTATAAGGGCTCCTTTAAGGGATCTATGAGGGTTCCTTTAAGGGATCTATGAGGGTTCCTTTAAGGGATCTGTAAGGGCTCCTTTAAGGGATCTATAAGGGCTCCTTTAAGGGATCTATGAGGGTTCCTTTAAGGGATCTATAAGGGCTCCTTTAAGGGATCTATAAGGGCTCCTTTAAGGGATCTATAAGGGCTCCTTTAAGGGATCTATAAGGGCTCCTTTAAGGGATCTATGAGGGCTCCTTTAAGGGATCTATAAGGGCTCCTTTAAGGGATCTATAAGGGTTCCTCAGGTCCAAGATGCCGAACCTCAGAAAGACTTTAGGGTTTAGGGTTTAGGGTTCAGGAGTTCAGGGTTTAGGGTTTACACTAGACCCAACCTCGGAACACAAAGGGTGCCCTTTTGGATTAACGGGTGTAAAAAGAGAACCTAAACCCTAAAAATGGAATAAGGGCCTACTCTGGGTCCTAGTAGACTTTAGGGTTTAGGGTTTACTTACTTGGAGGTTCATGGGTAGGGTTATAAGTCCCCTAACAGAGGTTATCACTATGAGATAATACAGGAACCTGATTGAGAAACCCTGGGTCTTTATTAGGTTCCTTACATGAATCCTGCTATTTTGGAGTTATAGGCCCAGGCTTTCTGAATCAGGGTCCTACATTAACGTTAACCTTAGCCTCCTGCAGGGTCCTGATATAGTCACAAAGAAGCTATATCTCTACAAAAGTAAGCGTGGGTACGTTAAGGTAGGGTTGAGGGTAAAAGCATTTAGGGCTTAGGATGGCTTAGGGTTTAGAAGGTTTCTGTAAAAGATACGATAGGGAGAGAAGAACTGCTATAAAGGGCTATGGCGCGGATAATCATCGAGAGATAAGGGTTGCTATAACGGGGTACTTTGAGGATGCTAGAAAGAGATAAAGGTTTCTGTGAAGGGCTACAATTCCGGATATCATGGAGAGATAAGAGTTACTATGAAATGTGTACGATTCAGGATACTAGCGGGTCTCCGTGGTCCATGAGGGTTTCAATTTTCGTTGTAGGGGTTTGCCAGAAAATAGGGTTCTCAGCCAGACGGTAATCTAGCGACCTTGATGAGACTGCGGCTGTGGGGTTACTCTGCACTATAAATGTAATAAAAAGCCCCCAACACATGCTATTGGTCATTACCCAGACCTCCGGGAAGATCTAGAAAGTAGATCCCCTAATTTGGGGCCCTATACTACAAAGGGCATTATTATAGGAACCCCCATTAAGGGATCTACTTTTTGGATCCTCCCAAAATCTGGGTATGCAGGTTTCCATACTACTAGGGTTCAGGGATGCTTACGGTTCTGGGCTCTCGGAATGCTTGTTAGAACTTTCGGGTTCGGGGTATCGGGATTTGTCGGGCTCTTTGGGTTCGGGTTTGCGGTTTCAGAGCTTGAGGTTTTGTTCATTCAACACTTCTGCAGCCTACTTGGAGGTTCATGGGTAGTTAGACGTAGGGTCATAAGTCCCCCCCAAAATGGGACATGAGTATAGCTATCCTGCTCATTATAGCCCTACTTATAACTACCCATGAACCTCCAAGTAGACCCTAGGCTCTCAACCCTATACCCTTATAGAATCCCTCTAGATCCCTTCAAAGGGACCCTTCAAGGAACCCTTATAACTACCCATGAATCTCCAAGCAGAGCAGGGCCCTTGGGCTTCAGGATGCAGGCTTTGGGCCAGTCCCCAAACCCTAAACCCCAACCTTCGGGGGTTTAGGGTTTAGAGTTTAGGGTTTAGGGCTTAGGGTGTAGGGCTCCGCAGGTGACTCAGGCACTATGACGACACAGGCCACAGAGAGCAAGACTTGATCCCGAGCCCCTACCCTGTAATCATGAACCCGAATCTTCTGAGAAAGTCTGCCTTTTCATGGGGTTGAGCTCGCATGAGCAGCGATTGAACTTTCCCAATTTCCGAGACCCAGCAAACACCAGGGCCCCAATACGCTGCGAACCCCCTAAACCCTGAAATATGTTTACTACCCCGAACCTAGACCCCAAACCCTATAATTCATGCGCCGAAAAAACACCAAACCCTAAACCTGAAACAAAGTTCACGTTTTCGTATGCGCGCCTTCTCTCCGCGGGAGTTCGGACATGGACGGCACCCGCCCAAATCACTGCAGTCAATGCACCCATAAGAGCCTCTGCTGGCCACGCAAACGGTTTAGGAGTTCGGGGTTTAGGATTTATCGGGGTTTGGTGATAAGGTTAAGAGGTCTCAGTTCGGGAATCGGGGATGAGACGCACCCAGGTTTACGGTGTGCACAACTTCACAAGTGGGTCTTGAGGCTGGTCAAGGTTTCCTCAACATTCAATCCAACCTAAATCCTCAAACCCCTAAACCCTAAACCCCAAAATACCTAAATCCTAAACCCCTAAAACCCTAAACCCCTAAATCCCTAAATCCTAAACCCTAAAACCCTAAACCCCTAAACCCCCCGCCCCCCCCTCCCCCCGCGAAACTAAATGCGGGCAGGTCTCCACAGCAGCAAAGATGACCGAGCCTTTGTACTTCTAGGGCCCCCCAAAAAAGAGCACATCATGTAGGAACCTGATTAAGAAACCTTGGGCCTTGACTAGGGTTTTTTTAGAGGGGTCTATAAGGGTTCCGAAAAGGGATCTATAATAAGGGTACTATAATAACTTAGGAACTTGATTAAGAAACCTTGGGCCTTTATTAGGGTTCCTTATATGAATCCTATTATTTTGGGGTTACAGGGCCAGGGTTTCTTAATCAGATTCCGACATTAGACAAGCAGTAGGATAGGGATATCCCATATAAACGCCCTTATAATGAAGCTCGATAAGGGAGGGATATCCCTAAAACATGCTTATGCTCATGTCGTTGTTGGGTCCTTAAACTTCTCTGCTGGGAACCCTTAAATTAAAGTACGTAGAAACCCCAAATATCGGGGCCTTAATAACTAAAATAAGGTTTGAGGGTCCTCAGAGGAAAATCATAATCACACAGCCAAAGAAACAAAGTTAAACTGGTAATTGTTCGACCCCGAATTAAAATTGGAACCCCCGTACGAGGCTTTCGTGGGACCCGTATTCGGGAATATGTGTGGCCTCGGCATTCGCGATGTTTAGAGGCCCCGATAGAAATAGCGGCCCCTGGCGGCTGTCGCCTGCCTTAAACTGCAGACCATGCAAGGTGCCTCCCCCCTGCATCAAAGCTTTAACGGCAAGTTTCAGACAATAGGGATGATTCCAAGGAGCTCTTCCAGAACTCCAACCCGACGTAACAGAGCGTTCTCATTACATAAATTCGTAAAGCGGGAACCTCCTTGGTTGATAAGAACTGATGGGAGGCCAAAAGAGGGGTTTAAGATTTTTGGGGTAGGGATTCCTTAATATGAACCCTATTATGGGATCCCAAATCCCTAATAAACCTTCTAAAGGCTAGAACCCCTTTTGGCCTCCTATGAAGAACCCACGACATTCATAGGGCCGTGAAGCCTACAGTCGACACTGCAGCAGACATCAGCATCTCCTCGCCAGTTGAGGATCCGGGGACTTGTAGTAAAACAGGTTACAAGTGCCGTAACGATCCCTATTCAACCTTGAAGCCCAAAACCAAAAGAAGTCAGAATCCTAAAGCCCTGCACCCTTAAGTTCGTCGCGGCACAACCTCCTAAACCCTAAGTCCTAAACCCTTCAATCCTATCCAGAGCCCCAAAGGCTTCAGCTTAAACGTGTCAGTCCTAAACTGTCAGATCGAAAAACAAGTCACTTAGGCTGTAGGATTTATTGTCTCGGGCCTGGATTTCAAAGTTTCAGGCTTAAGTTAAGGCTTTAGGCCATAGGCTTTTAAAGGGACCGTGTAACTACATAGCGTATACTTTTGGCCTCAAAGGGGTTTCCGCATGAGCACTTTTGGGGAACAACTTATCTACTTTTTGAATATGGCTACATAGATCCTGAGGATAGTTTCGAAACAAGCAGGCGACGTCGCAATTGACTTTCCGTGATGGTCGGTCGTGATGGTCTCAGCAACTTAGTAGCAACTATAGATCTTAGTTTGGGCACTTCCCCCACACAGTCTATAATAGGGCTACTATTAAGGTCCTCATATATCTATATTATGAATATTATCCGACTTTTACTGAGTGGGGGCAGTACCCAACATGTTAGTAACAGAGCAGTAATTGTAGGACTAGGATACCCAGTAACCTAAGAATAAAAAGGCCTCTCTTTTTGGTATTGGGTAACTTTATAAGGAACCTAGGACTACAAAAAGGGAATAAGGGTACTACTGTGCATCCTAGAGGATGTTGAGGGGATCTTGGCCTTCGGCCCGAGAGGCAAGCCAGGTCTTAGCACGGCAGCCCACGCGGGCGTAACGATGCTAAGCTCCGGTTTGGGAGTTTCCGAAAATAGGGGACGCAAATATAGCACCCTAAACAGTAGGATCCTTCTTAGAAGGACCCTCAGAAGATGGCACCCTTAATTTTCGGAAACTCTAAACCCTAACCCTTTATAGAACCCTTAAAGATCCCTTCAAAGGAACTCTTCAAAGGAACCCCCGCTTTTCGGAAACTCCGATATCCTACCAAAGCTGGCGCGAAGCGTTGCAGCTCTCCAGGGCTTCTCCCTGAACGCTCCAATCCTGAACTTCCTACAGTAGAAGCCAGAAAGTTGGAACATCATTATCCTCATGCCCTTAAGGTAAAGTATAAGCGATCCTAGCACTAATCCTCCTAAAGCCATGTTCCAACTTTCTGGCTTCTAGTACAAACCCATACCCTAAGTTTAGGGTTTAGGGTACTGCTAAGGCCCCATAGTAATTAGCTCCTTTTGGGGATTACCCTATAGGGTTCTAAACATGTACCCCAAAAAGGAACTACTGTGGGGCCCTAGGGCAAACCTGTGAAAACCAAAAGCCCATAGAAACCTCAAGCCCGCAGTGAAGACACCTCAACGTCCAAGCCATTATAGCATTTAGGGTTTGGGCTCTAGGGTTGTCTGTTTGACCTGCGGAACAATCCGGAGATCTTCATCGCCGGACCGACAACAAGGGTGAAAGTGTTGAGAATTCGACATAGACTCCTCGATATCTACAAACCCATGTTAGACAAAGTATACAACTATGCGCCTCCGCCTGACTCTCCTAGGCCGCGCAAGACTGCATCCCTACTACACCTCTAGAACCTGAGAGAGCTTCACCCGGAACTCTGGGCCCCATTTATGTTAAAGTAGATACCTGATTCAGAAACCCTGACTCAAAACCACCCAAATACTATGGCCCGTACACAAAACCCTAACAATGACTCAGGGATTCTTTATCAGGTTCCCATATTAACTTTGGGATTGGGTGCAATTCTGAACGAAATGCATGACAGCGGAAATTCACTCCTCATCCATCGGGGGCAGGTGAAGCGATCCGCCCAGAATTAGCCTAGTGGCTGGCGTGGTGCTTATTCGTTTTCTTGTCGATTACTGATGCCGGTGCTTTCTTCTGCAATTTAGTTGTCTGGCGGCAAACGATGCGGTATTTCTGAAGCGTTCAACTCCAAATCCCAAAACCAGGAACCAATATCCATCAAGAAGCCCATGTTCTAACCTAGTAGAAAAACCTAACCTAGTGGACCTTCAGACTGCGGCTATTGTGTAATGAGACAGATTGAAAGGCTAAGACACCAAACTGTAAACCTAAACCCTGAACCCTAAACTCTAAACTCTGCAACCCCCAGCTCCAAACAGAAACATCTGATTTTAGAAACAGAAGGCACGGTCTTCGGTCGAGATCCATCCGCCCCCCGAAACCTAACCCTGAAGCCTCGATCCACCGTCTATAAAACTCCAAACACCCAATGCCGGAGATGCCTAGTCCTTCAGGTACGTATGCTCTTTTGCTGCCTCTATCTGAAAAACCGTGAAGGTGCTGGAAATCGCACATTTTACAATCATGCTTCAAGGGCTCCTTTAAGGTTACTCGAAGGATGATTGTAGGAGTTATAAGACAAGGTTTATGGGCAGCTTTAACTATTCGACGCTACAGCCTACACTCAAGCCGAGACCGAGATTACACCGATCCTGTAAGTATACACCCTATAGGCCCATCTAAAGCCCACTTTCGCTGTCGTTGGGGTGGGCTGTGCGGATTTTGGAAACATGCCGTCAAGGTTTATGTGAAGGTTTATGTGCCTATACACTTTGGCACTAAAGTCCCTCCTTCTAAGGACTGCTTTCATACTATATGGGTACATGGACCCCTAGACCCTAAACCCTGAAGAATGCTTTTGTGAACATTCCGGAACTATACCCCCGAGATCCCGTTGCCTTAATCCTAAAGCCCTCTAGCGAGCCCAGAACCCGTCAAATGACGAATCCAGCAGGCCACGACATAAAGGTGCACTCCTTGAGACCCTAAACTCCACAAGAAGCCCATAAAACACTACAGCAGCACCCTCTTCCAGAGACCCCCTGCTGACCCAAGTCACGGAAAGAGAAGGACACAGCTATGAAGGAAGTTGGGCGCTTGTGTATTTGGGGGATGCTGGCGACAAGTCGCAGGATTAGCGCCCAGGTACATGCCGCATCCACTGCATTGAGAATCGGTACCTCCAGAAGAAGCGAAGTTGATATAGGGACGTGACCTTCATCATTAGAATACGCATGTTATCATGTCATAGCTGTTTGCGAAGCCCTTAAACTTCAACATGATGTAGGTAAGTACTTAGGCTTAACTATTAAGCATCCAACCTAGGGACCAATCAAAGATCCTATTCCAGAGCACGACACGGGCCTTTCCTTTAGAGATCTTGCACAAAAAGCACCAACGAACAAACTCAATGCTATGTGGGGACCTGGTATCCGGGCTTATGGTGTCTTTCTGGGATCCCCTGAACCCTATAATTCAGAGGCCTGATAATTAGAATACGGTTCTTGGGCCCATTCCACTACAATTATACTGAGGAGCCCCGGAAATCGTATAGTATTAAAGTTCCCAAAACCCAGACCTTCCAAAATCCCTTAATTAAGGAATATACCTTAAATCATATTAGGGACTCTACTATAATTTAAGGTATATTCCTTAATTAAGGGATCTTGGAAGGTCTGGGAATACCCGACCATGTGTCATAGAAGCTGCCTTGAAAGGCCAGGCCAAGCTTAGGAGCACGACGTAGGCGATCAGCGTCAGGGACATCAGCACCTTCTCGCCAGAGGGGTTTAGGCTGAGGGGTCTCGGTTTAGGGTTTTGGGGTTTAGGGGTCTAGGTATTTAGGGTTTAGGGGTTTAGGGTTTAGGGGTCTCGGTTTAGGGTTTAGGGGTCTCGGTTTCAGGTTTAGGGTGTCTTGCTGCGCAGTGGCTGGTCATCCATGCTAGGATGGCGCCACCTCACACCAGGGTTTGTGGGTGGCGGCATATTACGCGTCAAGCGACCTTCCTTGCGAAATTCTCCAAAACCCGCCCGCAAAACAGTGCAGGGCAGGCAGGCCAAACCCTAAACCCTAAACCCTAAACCGTCGGGGGCCAGCTGCGGGACTACACCAAGCTGCCGGGAACAGTGTCTGGGCACCCATGTATGGGTGGGGTGGGAACTTAGTAAATAGTTATTTTATAGAGTTATAAGTACCATAACCCCAATCAAGGTCCCTATTAAGGTACCTATAAGTCTATATAATAACTACTTACTAAGTCCACCGACCCTCCAAGTATGGGTGGGGTGGGAACTTGGTTCAGGGTTTTGGGGCAGGGCAGGGCCCGGGAAACCGGCCTGAAGGGGTGGTGGAGGCGCGTTTTGTCTAGAGTCTAGGGTGTTTCAAGGGAGAATCAAGGTATTGTGAAGGATTTAAGCCCAGCTGTGGCTGGCCGGTGGCGAGGCGGAGCGCTTGACAGCCCAGATATGCATTCGACCACCCCTAATCTTTGAACCCTAAACCCCGAACCCTAAAAACCCAAAGCTCCAGATACCCGAAACCCCTAAACCCTAAGCCCCTTAACCCCGAACGCCTCCCTTAACCATGAAGAACCTACCTTTCTAAGGTCGTAGATTAGGAAATCATAATAGGGAACCTTAAAGGTAGGTTATTCAGGGTTAAGGTAACCCCTAAACCCCTAAAAACCTAAGTCTCTTCAAGGCGCGACTTGCGTGGCGGGGTTGTTGGTGAAGAGCAGCAGAGGCCTTCAGACAAGGGGCTTTCTGGGGAAATCGCGCTTTCGTCCTTTAGAACCTGCGAAAACCGACTTTTTGTCGGGACCTTAGAAGTTCCATATTTTGGATCATAATAAGAGCCTACAAAGCTGGACCCAAGAGACTTACACATTTAGGGCTCCTTATTGTGATTTCCTTACAAAGGCCCTGGACCCTAAACCCTAAAAGCCCTAAACCCCAAACTTTAGGGTGTAGGGCTCCAGGGCTTTTTGCGGCGATAAGCCGCTCTTGGGATTCAGGGCTTTTGGTCTCTATACAGCCCTTTGGGCTTCGAGCTTAGGGCTTTGGGGCACTAAGGGTTTATAGTAGGGCTTATAGGTTTTAGGGTTTAAGGTTTAGAGTTTATAGCTTTAGGGTGTTAAGGGTTTATAGTAGGGTTTAGGGTTTAGAGTTTATAGGTTTTGTTAGGTTTTGGGTTGCAGGGTTTGTGTTGCTTGAGGCCTGAGTTTACGTGTTCCTGCTTAGGGAATCGCGAGCCTAGGACTGAGTTCTTAGCTTCAGGGTTTGGGGTTTAGGGTTCAGGGTTGGGGTTTAGGGTTTGGGTTTACCTCGACCCCAAATAACCTACGTTTTTAAGGACTTGTATAAAGAAATTAAAGTAAGGAGCCCGAAAAAGGATATAGGGAACCCTAAACCCCTAAACCGTAGACCCCCAAAACCTAAACCCTATTCCAAGGGTAGAAGGAGGGACCCTTAACACGGAACCCAAGGTATACACTCTTAAAAAGCTAGTATATACCCATTACACTCTTAAAAGCTATTATATGCCCATTATATCGCCCATTACAGGGTAGGGGTCCCCATTAAGGCTCCCTCCTTTTCCCCTCTGACCTATGTAAACCCCTAAACCAACACCCCCAAGGCTCCAAGCCCTAAATACAATAGAGGTTCGTCGTGGGTTGCATTTAAGATTACTTCTTCAGGACACTGCTGTGCGACTCTGTCTAGACCTGTCTTTCCAACTGGGAGCTTTACATGTATTCATGTGGAGATAAACATGTATAAATGTATAAATGTATATATATATATATATGTATATACCTGTATATACACATGAAACATACACATAGCTAGCAGTGTGTACACACACATATATATATACACACACAGTTTATATGTATATATGTGCGTGCATTTTACATCTAAAGCATGACCTTCAGACAGGTCCTGGGGTTTTTCGAAGGGACAGGGTTTAGGGTTTAAGGCTCAGGGTTTCTCTCTGCCAGAGGGGCAAGGACAGCAGTGGACCACGCAGAAGGAGAGGCAGTCCGAACCACCAGGAGTCCTCCATCATAGGGTTTAGGGTTTAAGGTAATAAGGTAAGGGTTTAGGGTTTAGGGCTTAGGGATGTTTAGGGTTTAGGGGTAAGGGTGGCAAGGGGGAGGGGGGTATTCCAACACGTTGATCAAGCTCTGTTGACAGTGGAATCCGTCGAACACCTAAGCCCTAAACCGTCTATTGATGGGAGGCCAAAAGGGGGGTTTAAGATTCTTGGGGTAGGGATTCCATAATATGAACCCTATTATGGGACTCCCAAACCCTACTAAACCCCCATAGGCTAAACCCCCTCTTGGCCTCCCATCTAACACCCTGTATATAACTCTTATAGATCCCTTTAAAGGAACCCTTATCGATCCGTTTAAAGGAGCCCTCAGGTACCCCTAATGATCTGTTGTAGACCACCCTAAACCTCGAACCCCGAAGCGGCACAAAACCCACAACCATAGACCCGAGCTTTTGCGAAATCACGACTCAGCTCCCTAATCTACTCCCGCAGTGTGGGGTCGTACTTCTATAGGGCCTTAACAAGGACAGGGTTTCGGCTAAAACTCTTAGGGCTTGGGGATTAGGGCTTCATACAACTTATACTACAACAAAGGTGCACGAAAGTAACCGAATCGGAACTATCAACTCAAACCGCTTCAGACGGATAGCTGCGCCGAACAGGCATAATCCATCTTAGGGTCTTGCAGCTGGGGGTTTAGGATGGTTCAGGGGTCAAAACCTGGACCTCGAAGCCTAAGGCGGCGAATACAGGCCATAATGATCAGGAAAGGGTTTTGGGACCCATTTTGCAATAGATACATAGAAAAAGGAGCCCCCCCCCCAAAAAAAAATAGTATATGTAATTGCAAAGGCCCCTATAGTACCTGAAAAGCTTAAGAGCACTCCAGACGGAACTTGTCAATGAGGAATTCGGATGCCGCGACGTGCCGCTGGTAGTTCCTCGGCGCGCGACGTAATGCAGGGGCCGTCTTCTTCTGCGCTGGGCTTCTTATTGGAGTAAGGTTTTGCGGGGCTCCATATTATAAAGCTAATTCGAATATAATATCCACATTCGAATCAGTAAAATCTCATATTATCGTGTCCTGTTGCTCGCTCTAAAGCGCAGCACCCCATAAGCAGGGTGGGGCAGAAGTGCCTAAGCCCAAAAATCCACGGTGCAACAACAGCTTTAGCTGCGAAGCCCAACAGTCCAGACTCTAGACCTTGACGGCTCACCTTGACCCGGAATAACTTACTTTTTTAAGGACCTGTTATATAAGGAAATCATAGTAAGGAACCCTAAAAAGGTAGATTCTTCAGGGTTAAGGTAGGGTTTAGGGTTTCAGTTCTTCTTGACCCATGGAAGCCCTAAACCCCGTAGCTCTAATTCTCTAAGCCATGCAGCCCTCAGGACACGCAGCCCCAAGTCCTTCTGTTGATGATACAAATCCTGCATTACCTTAAGGACCCTAAAGCATGGGAATAATGGTATATCCCTTATTATGGGTCATTAATGCAGGATTTATATCATCAACCGTTCGACCTCCAACCCCACCCCTACTGGCCACAACCCGAAACACCGAAACCCCTATGGCCAAAAGCCCTTCGGCCCCAAACCCTACAACTAACGTAGGCTTTAAAACCATCAAGCCCTTAAACCCTGAGCCCCTGAACCCTTACATCCTAAAACCCTAAACCTAGCCGTCGACACTAGAGCGACTCGGAAGTAGCTCATCCCCGGAACTTTGCTCAGTGACGTCGTGTAAGCCCAAGCCTCCCAACAAGCAAGTTTCAACCCTTGGAAAAATGGGAGTTTCCGAAAATAGGGGACCCTAACATGGTACCTCAAATAGTAGGATCCTTATTACAAGGACCCCAAATAAGGTAGCCCTAATTTTCGGAAACTCCCAAATGGGGTTCAGGGTCTATGGCTTAGGGAATTACAAGAAGCCTGAATTATTAGAACAGGGGTGTCTTTATCGTAGAAAGGTATGAAATAGGCATAGGGACTATCAGGAGACGCCATTACTGTTGTTTCGACGGCTAAGTAGTGTACTTCAGTCCGTGTTCGTGATAGGCATCCTAAACCCTGAGCACTCGTTGATCAACCAAGGGTCTCATTCATACTCCAGCTGGGTAGGCGCCACAATATCCAAACGCAAATGGCCCAAAAGGCACAGAGCAGGGCGCCCAGGCATGTTCCCATGATCATCATGGCTGTATGGTCTTCACTACCACAGATGATGCTGAGCATCTGAAGGTTGCTGTGACGGCCATTGGGGTGTCGGAGGCCTAGGTGGGGCTTTTAGAGCCTTTGAAAAATATTAGTAAAAAAGATCCTCTTAAGCCCAATAAGGGAAAATTTAAAATGTCCCAAAGCCCTACCTAGAAGCACATGAAAGGAACCATGGAGAGATTGCTGACGGCCTGGAAGCATACCACGACCTCGGGTCGGTTTAGGGTTTAGGGTTTAGGGTTCACAAAACCACTTCCTCCAAGAGTTCGCTCATGTATGGCGGGTGTTACGCTTTAGGTGTCATGGCTCTCGGAGTGTGGGGCGGCTGAGGTTGGGCATTTCAAACATTCGGGTTTAGGGATCAAAGTTGATCAATGTTTAGGGCGTGGGATTCGGGTTTTAGTCTCCGTCAGTTCATACAGTAAAGCATTGCTTTGGTCTAGGTTTGAGGTGCACGGTGAGTATACCTAGATACAGATGCTTGGAGCTGACCCTAGCGGGTCGATATATACTGTACGATTATGGAATTAGGTACCAAAAGACGATCCCGATTAGGGTTTTTTGGTTGGGGCCTAATTCCATAATGGTAGTGTATATCAACCCTCTGCACCCAAAACCCTAAAGCCTAAACCTCAAATAACCCTAAACCCTAAACCGCAGCATAGTCGCCATCTGCCCCATGGAAGCCATGAGGTCGGTCAACTTTCGGCCCCGGGAAAGCATGCGGAAGAGAAAGTGCACAAGGAGCAGCCTATACTGAAATTAGACCCCAAGTACAACTTTTAATTCATCAGCTTCTTAGGGATTATAGGAACCCACAATTCAAAAATATCTCTAAGTGCCCAAAATTTCAAAAATAATTCTAAGTGCCCCTTAGCAGCCAGAACAATCCGCACGGGAGCACTGCAACCTGAAATCCGAACTGCTGCAAGGGCCGCGATCCGCTCATACAGCCGAGACCCAAGTCTGCGGCTTCCTGGGTTCTTGTTGAGGAATTTAAGTTACGAGGGTTTGGGGATCTAGGGGTTTAGGGTTTAGTGGATGAAAATCGAGTTACCCATAATAAAGAAACCATATTATTCACCATAATAGATCCCTATTATGGTAACGCAAAATAAACTCCTTAGCAAGAGCCCAGCGTCGAAAGCGAAGACCTGGAGGAGGGAGAAAGTGGAGACCAACAGTTGCGGCCATTCCAAAGTCATTTGGCCAGTAATGGCCAGGGTTTGCAAGACGTTGCCGCCAATCCTTGGCTTCTACGGTTTAGGGTTTAGGATATATTTTTTAGGGTTGAGCAGGGAGTGTCAGGGTTCCTTTCAAGGGATCTAGAAGGGTATTGTGTGGGTTTAGGGTTTAGAGGCCTCTATACTTGGCCTCTGATTGCCCCTTTATATTACTGATACACTTTTTTCCTACTAATCGGTTTCAATAGAGGGACCCTAAGATAAAACAGGGCAGCAGGGTACTACTCAGGAACCCAGAATCTCAAGGATTGTCAGGAACGTGAACACGAGGATCGCTCGCGTTTGGGATGTGTACTCCATCTTCGCGCGGTGGGCGAAGGGCAAGCAGGCGCACACTCCTACGATTGCAACGATCCACCCAACTCGCACCCATCCCTCACCTTAGTTCTCTTTTGCGGTTCAGCGAAAGATGGCCCTCTGACCTACATCGAGGTCTCCTGGCCGTAGAGCCCCTTCTATTTTCTATATCCAAAATAGACAAAACAACTTGTGTGCGTATGTGTATATAATATAATGTAACACAATACAATATAGTATAATATAATATACTATACTATAATATAACAATAATAGTAATATATATATATATATATACATATATGTATATATATATATGTATGTATGTATGTACATATATCGCCAAGAGCAACTAAGCCCCAGGCAAGGGCGGCACTCCTCCCCGTTCCATTGTTGGTCGGCTCCACACTCGAAGCAGGAAACGCCTTTGCTCGCCTCGTGGGTCAGGGGGGCTCAGGGTCAGGGTTTAAGGTTTAGGGTTTAGGATTTAGGGTCAGGGTTTAAGGTTTCGGGTTTAGGGTTAGGGTTTAAGGTTTAGGGTTTAGGATTTAGGGTTAGGGTTTAAGGTTTAGGGTGTAGGATTCAAGGTTAGGGTTTAAGGTTTAGGCCTTACGGATGTAGGGTTTTGACTGTGACTGCTGCAACCTCTGTGGCTCCTAAATGCCTGTGTCATGCCATCTACAACACGAGAAGCTGGCAAGAACACACACGCGTGGTGTGCCTGGCCGCGTCAGCACGCAACTACAACAGAAACAGAAAACTTATTCAGCGCTGAAGACGTGAGGCAGCAGTTGCTCTTGCTGAAAATGCAGGAGCAAGAATGAACTCAATTGCCACAACCAGCCGAGTGAACAGGAACTGAAGAGAACATGATCGTGTGCACACGGGTAAGGGCCGGATTCAGTGGGCTTTTTTTGCAGCACAGGCGCGCCAGCGCAGTTCCCCGGCCTCCCACCAGGACAGGCAGCAGAACTGTCGCATTTGTAGACGTGGAGACCGTCATCCTCCAGGCCTTCATGAATTGATTTTAATGTTAGGGTTTCGGGGTTTAGGGTTTAGGGCCCTGGGTCTTCTTCGTGCACCTTGAGCAGGGATGAGTCGAAACCTGCACGATATCAAAGTTCCTGCAGCTGGTTACCTGGAATACGTGGTAAGCCATGGTGAGACTACGTCGTCGTGGGCCCCTCCGAATCTTGATCGCTCTGTATGCTTCATTTGAAATCGACGGCTCCACCTCGAAAGATACTGTGCTCTGCGTCACTGCGTCTCAGCAACTGCTCATATTGCGAATAGTAGGGCATTAAGATACTGTGCTCTGAGTCTCAGCAACTGCTCATATTGCGAAAGGTAGGGCATTTGCTTTACAACATCATTGGCCACATCAACTGCTTCTGTGTCGATGATGATACCTTAGAAGCCTAACCTCCTATACTTCGCATAGAGGTAGCTGGGCGCTCGGCAATACATTTTGAAGTTTAGGGCTTAAGACTTAACATGGAAAGTTTGTTCATGATGGTGATTGTGATTCTTTGGTGCTTTCTTCCTACCGCTCCTCGGCAAATCTCGCTACGTTGAAGCGGAATGCATGGATATCAACGGACCCGACATGGGGCTGTCGTGTGCCCTTGCCTTGCACCTCTATGCGCATGGTAAGTTTAGCGGGCACTGATCAATCAATACACTCTCGTTTTGGAAAAGCTGCATGGGCCCATACCGAACCCTCAGTGGTTGTGTCTGCGTCAAGGGACCATCGTCATCGTGATCACCACCACCTCACTACAACCGCACTACAACCATCAGGTTGCTTCCGCAACATTATTAACTTCAAGAACCCACCATGGACAAGACAGGGAAACAACCAGACAGCCGAGCTGTTGTTGCAAAGGCCCCGGCTCATGAAACCAGGAAGGAGCTTTGGAATGTAGTCCTGGCTTGTGCCCGATCGACATGTCTTTTTTGTTTTGTTTTCGTATTTGGGTTGGGATTGAAAGCTTCGGATTCCCACTATCTTGTCGCGGTGAGACTTCTCAGGAATTCACGCATGTGACTCCCCGAGAAGGTTTTCCAAGGGCAAAAGGTGCTCGTAAGCACGATGACATGAAAAATGATGCCGTTCATGTAAAAAAGGGCAACAAGAGAAGGAGGAGCACACCTGACCCATGACAACTGCAATGCCGACTGCG